TTAACTTAGAACACTTCAATATATTAGAATTTGAATCTATATAACTGTTCTAAGAAGAAACTTGTGAGGTTATTATAGGACAAGATATAATAATAAATTGGCTGAATAAATTAGACTTACAATAAATATGATAGGCATGAAGTCACATGACTTTCAGAATAAGTCACATGATGTCTAAATTGAGTTACTGGATTCCCACTGGAATGAAATGGGAATAGAGTAGGAAAGCAGTCCTACCATATTCCCCCAGGACTGCAGCCAGAATGCCAGACTTTATCCAGACTACAGTGGGATTCCAGTGGGAATACATGGGGGAGAGTTAAGTACAGGAAACGCAAAGCAAAGTCTCAGGAGATTAATGGTAATGATGAAGACTAGGGTTTGGATGAACAACATGCAGAATCTAATGTCTCTGAATCTGATTGAAATAAATAAACATGTAGTAGTAAGAAACTAGTCATATGCCTTATGCCCTTGTTTAGTAAAAGATTTAGTGCTACAATTCTATTTGTCTGACCTAAAGAAGGAGATTCAGGGTCCAAAATTAATGAACCAGAAGTCCTAGTGTTCAATTTCTGTTGATTCCAGTTGGATTCCTGTTGATTCCAGCCAGAATCCTGCAGAATTCCTGGAATCCTACTGGAATTCCAGGATTCCGGTAGGAATCAGTGGAGGAATGGAAAGTATTGAGCTCCAACCTAACCACAAAGTTGAAGGCGACGACTACATATTCCCATACATCGCCCCAAATGGACTGATTCATCCTAAACGTGACATGAGCTACGACATGCTGCAAGGATTGCTTACCAAGTTTGCAGCAGCAGCTGGGCTGAAAAAACATTACACCACACATTGCTTTCGTCGTGGTGGCGTGCAGTACAGGTTTATGTATGCGCCTATTGGAATGCGGTGGCCACTAAGCTGGATCCGATGGTGGGGTGGATGGGCAATTGGAGAGCATGTAAGTCATCTCATTACTGGAGGTCTAAGAGCTTCATTTCTCACCGAAATGTCACTGTCAATGTCAAGGTTGACACATTGATGAAGTATTTGATGGATTCCCTACAGAGCTTTGAGGCGGGGCATGGAAACACCTTGCACCCAATTCCCATTGGTGCAGACCAGAGCTTCATGGGAGATCACATCGCTGTGGCACCTGTATCTGGTCAGGAGGTCCAAGAGTTCAAGGGAGGGATTGACCACAAGATCGACGAGCTTGTGAAAGTGATCACAGCAACGCTCTCCCATACCTGTCACTCAGACACGGTCACCCGCACGCTGGAAACGACTGTGGATCCATCGAACCCATCCATTGGACCCATGCATGTGTCACACACCCAATCGCGAGCCATATCAAGGGCTGCATCAGCTCTGTATATCTTGCCTGATAGCCCAATTGAGGCTATTGTAATTGACACCAGCGGTGGAATGTCCCCTGCGAGCTCTGAGGGGGGAACATCATCTGAGAATGGTACTGTCATTATGCCAAGTTTCCGTTGCTTCACCTTCGCAATCCCAGACCTGGGAAGAGCCCCTGGCGCGTGGTGAAGAGTCATCAAGCAGTGGGAGGAAATCGATCCTGTCACAAAGTGTGCACTGAAGGACTGGTACGAAGGGAGTAGCGCCACTGCAAGCAAGCGGAACCAACGAAAGACGATTTTTGACAAGTTTGTCAGGCGCGTGTTCAAAGCTTTGATCACCTTGCTTACACTGAAAGGCTTCGTTTTGTTCATCTTCAGATTGGGCCGAAATGAGGCGGAATTTCTTAGCAAGTATCCAGATGCAGGCAAGAGCATCCCGAAGCTCTTGGAAGCCATCCGCTGGAACAAAGGCACAACGCGCTCCAGCAAGTACGGAACTGCACAAGAACGCAAATCCAACTCTCCAAGAAGTTCACCCGACCCCGAAAACTAATGATGATTCAGCGGAATCCCAGTGTCTGGATTTGAACACGGAGAAAGGGGAGCACATACAGCTTTATAATTCTTATACTTCGTAGGTATTTTGTCTCATATACTTCATAGCTATTTGTTTCATGCCATCCGACAAGAATGTCTTTAATATTCCAAACATCTTACAAGTTGACTGCTCTCTTAACATGCTTGCTTCAACGATGAAATGGTATTAGGACCGAAAATCATTATAAGCAACAATAAAAACACAAGGCCTGTCCAACTAAGGGGGCAGAAAGGAGAAGGCAACGCCACGATGCAGCAGGAGTGCCAAGCACGCCTACAGCATGATGCGCGTGACTGAACCCTGACCTTCCCCATTTGGGCTGAATCCGGGGAATCCCCTTAAATCATCCCACATAAGTAGAAGTTTGGGGAAACGATTTTGTATATTTTATATCACTTGTCTAAGTTGAGTAACCTTTTTTGGAACAAACTGTATTGTTTTTACATGTGGGCACAAGTATAGAATTCGAAACTTAGTAGTTTTCGAAGGGAAACGGCTTTTATTGGGACTGTCTTGGTGTTCTGGGATTGCGTTCTAACTGTATACAAAGAAATGACAAGGAAACTGTGCTTTGTAGACTTTTGTAACTCCCTTGAGCTTTTATTATGCCTCTGATTCAATCCAAACTAGTCTTAAAGACTCTTCAAGCATGCGCACTTGGATTCCTTGGTAATAGTAGAAAGCTCTCTTACTAATTGACAAGACAACCTTACAAAGGCTTAGTGATCCCCACTTAACACGCTGGTTCCAGGCACATGTTAGTTATGTCTGCGAAGAAAATGTCCTTTAATTGATTACACACTTATCCACTACCTCAGATGCTGCTGGGAGTGTGACAGCTGGTCAACGCAGGGCATAATTCCTTGTGTTTCAGCCTGCGCGCATCCTCCTTTTATACTATTCCATGTTTTCTATTTATATTTACATGTCCATGCGTTGTCCGGGAGGTCGGACACATTAATACTGATTTTTAGTAAAGGTTTGAAGTGGCTCAATTGTGTGTGGTACAACTGAGCTGACTTCTTTTAAGTTTTCGTAGTGTTTTCTCTATTGTGGCGACACGACACATCAGTATTGATGTGTATGCAGGAATCGCTGTTGCACAGCAAATCGTTCATAGTCTTTCTCTTTTGGCAGACTTCGGAATATTTCATGAAGCCCATTTTTCTTGGGTCAATGATGCCATGATTTGTGATGTGTTGATGCGCGTGATGCATTTCCCCACATGACTTCTTGGATCATGCTTTGTAGCACGTGACCGAATGACTTCTCGTGTCAGGTATGCATCGAGTTTCTAGGCTCGTGCATTTATTTGTAGAAGTAATATCTTTTAATCCATAGTAAAGTGAGACCCTGGTTTGGTGTAAACTCCAACACCCTGTGCTGAGGTGTTTTTACTCTAGGACACTCTGTAGTGTACTATTTCATGGTAGTGTAGCCTTTTATTAGACTTCGAGTATATTGAAGTGATTCGGTCATGAACTGACCGCAATTCCTACTGCCTAAGGCGTGCAAATTTCTCGGATGTAGACTTTAATCGACTAGACTGGGTTGCGTCTAATAATTCTTATGATCAACGTGACTGTATTTCTACTATAGGAGGTTTTATAGGAGAAATTGCTAAAATTCGCATTTTTCTGGGTGTATTGTTACACTCCGTATCACCTTGGGCAAGGATGCTGAGTGGAAGGCACAGTTTAATGATGCAGCTATCTGGGTTCCCAGCATCATCACCTTCATTGATATTTTCATCACCAAGTCACAGTTCTACCAAACTTGGAAGCCATTGTTTTTACGAGCACAGGAGTATCCAGATATGCGAGATTGGCTTGATGACTTGGAAGATTGCCTCTGCACTGAGGATTTGTGGGGGGTTAAGACCAGTTGATCTCTGACCTTTCCTGACTTGAAGAAGTGGCTTGAGGATAAAGATCGGGAGGGAGAGCTGAAGAGACGTGATCCCAAGGGAAAGAGGAAAGCCTCAGACAGTCCAAAGAAGAAGAATCATGATAAAGACTGACCACGGGTGCAGAGAAAGCACAAGAAGTTGAAAGAGGCAAGGGGTTCAGATGAGGAAGAAGCTTCTGAGTAAGTAGTGTTATGATTTTCTTTCTTTTCTTTTTGATGTGTTTGGAGTGTAAATGAAAGAAGAAATACTGATTTGTACAATAGTTCTAGTTTCCTTTTCAGATTTACTTTTCTGCTCTTGTCATCAGCTATATCACTTGTATCCCAGCACTGGATTTTAGTCTGGCTCTTGATCTGGTCAAATCTAGTTTCATTGGCATCTGCTACCTCTTCAGGGCAATGTCCTTTTCCAAATATTCCATTCAGCATATTTAGTGATGCAATCCAGACAATCTTTGGCTCCAATATTTCTTTGGCAACTGTTCTCACAATCTCATTCACACTATTTGAGAATCCTGATTTATTAAATCTTCATTTTCATCAACAACAACGGATTTGTGGTGATGAAAACAAAGTGCAGATTTCAGGATGGATAATTGCATTGAGCAATGCACTGGTAAACAAACTTGGAAAGAAGAGGGTTGAAACTTTATTCTCTGAAAATGAACTTGCATGAGAGCCAGATGAAAAGGCAAAAGTTGATCTTCTTGCTGGAAAATTTGACAAGCTGGCTGGCTGCTTGAAACTATCAACATTTGATGAGAAGGGGGGTTATAAAGGAAAATTACTCCCTCTATCACACAGCAAGATAGAACCAGCTTATGTCCTTTGCCCCCCTTCATTTGCATGTGAAATTCAGAGTTGTAGTCCAAGATCATTGCATCAATCTACCAAAAGTAGTGACATACCATTGGTTACTTTGATCAAAGAGCAGAGAGTATACCAAGATGTCCCTGTGCTTACAGGAAAGTGTCCAAACTGTAAAACATTATACACAGCCAATCATGAAAGATTTGAAGATACATCAACTATTCAAAATACTTTGAAATGAGTCTATCTTAACTCAGCCAAATATTTAAAAATTGGCCAATCAATCTGGGCTGATCGTGGATTTGCAATGGCAGCTATAAATGCTATGTATAACTTTCATGCTTCAGCACCTGCTTTCTCAGAGTACTGGAATAATACATATGGAACAAAAGAAATTTCAATTTCACGAGCTCATGTCTGGCAAGCATTTGTTCAACAATCTGTTTGCACAATTGCTGAAGAATCTGGAATTGATGCTGAATTTGATGATGGATTGAATATCAAAGAAGTTACTACTCAGGCATTTTCACTCTTGGGGGAAGATGGAGTCATCAGAGCTTCAGAAGGACATGCATGTGATGAATGTACTCAAAAACGCAAAGATACAAGTGATGTGGTTTTCAATAATCCAGCAGCAGTTGTTGGTGTTGATGCCACAGATGATGATATTCCTGCTTTGGCAGCAGCTCCTGAAGAAATGGAAGTTGATGCACCTCAGGTCACTTCAGATAATGAGATGGATACTGATGATATCCCAAACATAAAAATGGTTGTTCTTGATGGTATAGTTATGGGTCCTCAGGTAAATGACTTTTACATTTTGTTCATGGAGTTTGTTTGTTCACAATGATTTTTTCTAGCACTGTGCATATGAGAATTGCACTAATGACCTCTCTAACTCTCATGGTGGATCTCTATGTGATATACATCACATAATGCTTGCTACCATGACTGTAATAACCGAAGAGTAGAAAGAACACTTGCATGTCAACAGCACCAACCACAGTGGCGTAAACATACAAAGAACAGCAAACACCACAACCAGGCTGGAGTTCGCCAGATGTTACAACGCCCTGGGGAGAATAATCCTTGGGAGCCCTGTCACAGAGGACCAAATCCCCAACAACATGATGAACCAAATGAAGAACCACAGCCACCTCCCAATTACTTTCATGCTGCTAGATTCTACTGTGTTGAAACTATTTGCGCACCTTGTGGTGTTGTTATGGCATGGGCCAAGTTTCCAAAATCAGAATCACCAACCAATATTTTGAACTTTCTAGCAAAGGTTTATCCAACAGAAGAATCAAGGCCTGATTATATCTGTATTGATAAAGGTTGTCAAGTGCTTGCAACAGCAGTAGCAAATGGAAGTTGGGAGATTTGGAAAAAGACTACTGTATTGAAAGCTCGCTTCAAATATGGTCGTCCATTCTTATCATAGGCCATAACTACAAGATTTGGAGCAGATCCATCTCCAGGTGAAGGATTACAGTATTTCCAACATAGGAAGTCTGCCACTCGATGATTGATATAGTGATAGGCATCCACAATAAATCTAGCGCCTTCAGGTTTAAATTTCGTATAACAAGTCTATAACTAAGTAATCTATCGGCTTTGATTCTTGAAGGTAATTCCATCTTGCGGTGATTAAAAAACTCAAAATAGGGACAACTGTATGAACGAGCCCTTAGACGCCTTGGTCCGATAGATGACGCCAGCAGATTGCGAGGCACTGTTTGGATTCAAAGCCAAAGCCCGTGACAAACAACAAACAAGAACTGGTCAACGTATGACCATCAACGACGCGGGCTCATCGTCGCAACCCTTTGAGGCAGTAATCCACTACCCACTCGACGGCCAGGCTAGTAAAGCCCCATTGCCAGTGAGTTAATTGATGTTCCACATACCAACGCATATTGCTTATGCATTCACTCGTCTCTTCAGCACCACGCAATGTGTCTCCACGTTGACTACTTCCCAACCTCCAGCTCTTCGGCCTGCATATTGGACGCAACAGCATTCCATCGACTACCCCTTCTCAATCCCAATTTATTACCGCAATGACATCACAACATCCTCATCCTTCCGAGTCATCCCCTGCGTTGCGGAATCGCCCCCCTCAGGGTTCACCTAAAAGATGCATCTTTCACGCGACGACCCTCGTACAGGCGATTTCACGCCACTGTCACACATTATGGGCAAATGTGCATGTGCGTACAGACAGTATGAGGGCGCTCCGCCAACTCTGTCGAATTTCAACATGCTCAAACGCATAACGTTCAGCCACTCCAGCCAACGCACAACTGACTCGCTACTATGGGACTTGCGTCAGTCAGGCCAACGCAATCGGGCGCGGTCTTTGTCGGTTCGATGACGGAAGACGGGGAAGGCTTTTGCGGGATCAGGTGTCGGTCAGCCTTGGCACAGAGAGAGGTGACGAAATGGCGAAGGAAGGTGAATGGTGTGATGGAAACTAGCAAGCGGATGGGTGGGACTGCGTGGTGTATGAGCAAGTAAAACAAATAGGTATGTGGTGATGAAAGGAGGCGAGATTCGTACTCACCAACTTCAATCATAGCCCAATTTTCGAATTTGGTCGAAAATAACGATACCCTCGTCCCTCACTCCCTCCCAACGTGACGATTTCAAATACTACCTACGCGAACGTCCATTCCATGCTACCTCCCTTTCCACCACCCGCCCACCCAAGTCCCGAAACGGTTGAAGAATCGTTTTCGCATAATTTTGGGAAATCGCTTCTCCCCTCTAGGTTGCGTAGAGCCTAAGGCCGAAATTGAAGTGGGCTCAAAACATCGCAAACTTCGAGATGCGTGGCCTGCGATGCTGGATTCGGAAATCCGCGAGGAGTGCCCATGTTACGTTTACAATGCCCGTGGTTCGGTGGGTCAAAAACATGGTTTACGGTTCTTGACGATCCGTCTGCAAGCGGTGTCAAAAGCTGAAGTTGTTGAAGGTTACTTACCGATTGTGGCAACAGCCCCCTCATTTCTATGCTCCCCCCTAATCACTACGACCCTGCGACGTGTCCTTTCTCCGGTTCGAAGCATCATAATTTTTATACCCTACCCGTCGCACCACCGTTTGTTCTCTTCTACTGTCCACCCAATGTTTTCTTTGATTTTACATTAAGCGTGCACCCCGGTGCAGCGTTCGTCGTGATCTCCTTTCCAGTCTCACTGGGAGCATAGCCACACGAATGTCTACCATTCCTATTTGCTGGCAGTACGCCTCTACTTCATCCCAACTCCAACATCGTGAACATGAACATACTGGTCACATCATTGATACTTGCTCTGCTCGTCCTGATACCGATCCTCCTAGGATATTTCTTCAACACTTCCCGGATCCGTCCTTTCCTCTGGATACCAGCTGAATGCACATCCCTCTTGGGCATCTTCTTTCTCCTGAAACCAACCTCAGGTCCTTACTACGGTATGCAACTGTGCTTTCTTCCATCCAACCCCGAAGCACAATTGATCACTTAATATTTTCTACAGAAATGCCAAACATCGGCAAAATACCGTTCATCTTCACTTTTTTCCTCATCGCAGACATTTATTACAAGCTCCTCGTGTTTGCAGGGGGTGGGTATCAAACCAAAGAGGGCCCAATGGCACAAACGCTGGCGAAGTTTATCTTCGTCTATGGACAGAAGCTTGGCATTTATATCAAGGATCTTGCGCGGCTTGTGCTGCGCCTTGAACATACCTTGCTTGTCTGTGTTGGAGACCTTGGACATAGCGTTTTGTGTTTTGGGTTGGAGCTTGAGGATGATGGAGATCTGGAGTCGCAGACGCGTGCCAATATCCACCGTCGTATGACGTGAGTTGTCGAGATTTTGTGTTCGTTGATGGGTTGTGCCAATTGAGTATTTTTTTGACGAAGGACGCATCAGCGCCACTCGAAATAATTTCCGAGTGACCATGAAACTTATCAGCTTTCCTTCTTGTCATTTGCTCTTCTCGAGACCGTAAAATTTACAGTTAAACATTGATATCTGGCCTTTCAGCGTGGCGAATGCGCGTTTTCTCTCGTATGTAACACTCAGTGCGGATCTGTCCTCTGAAACGAAATACAATTACCATTCCAAGTCCATTGTCGTCTACAGGAGGACAGATAACATATGTTTACTACTAGGAATTTTCCCTAGCCCTTAATTTCATCCGAAATTGGGGGTGGTGCTGATACGTCCTTGATGGAAAACAGTGAGTAGCTGTATAGCATAGAACGGGAATGTAAGGAAAACGTCGACACTCACCTTGCACGATGGTGGTTTTTTGATATGTATCAATAATTCCAAGTCGTCGAGCTCATTGTCTAATCCACACAGCGTCCGACCGAAACCGACAGCGCTCTCAAGTAAGAGATATCGGAAGCCCAGCACATGATAAATAAGTTCCTTGAGGTGGCCGCCGAATATTCTTCCATGGATTATAAGAACCTTGAGTATAGTCGGTGCCACTTCGGTTTCAGATTGTGGGTCGACTCCTATGTATAAGAGGGCCTTGAACAAGACGTCTCCAGCGAGGAGAAAAGCGACCATTGATGCGATTTGGAGTACATGAGGTAGGGATTCTGTACGACATACGAGCTTGAGTGACTTTTATTCTGGGTTGAATAAAGTAGTGTGCGTACCGAAGATGGTACTTGAGACAACGGGAGGTTTCAGAAGAAAGAAGGCGCTTGTTAAGAAAACGGATTCTGCAGGTATGCCGAGGACAGGATGAATCTTAGGAGGGTTCAAGAAATATTGTATGGCGAGCGGTATCAGAAACAGAGCGAAGATTGATAAGGTGGCAAGTATCATTTCCGTCATGTCGAAGGTAGGACAAACTGAGGGTCATTTGCGTTAGCGAGACATTGAGCGACTGTGACACCCGATCGGAATGGAAAGGAGCCCGGGGCCCGGAAGAACCTCACGACGCCTACGGACGCATGATAGTGGCGTGAACAATTCAAGCGTTGCGAAAGATGCAAAAAAAACATGTAATTGGTGATGAAAGGAGAGTGAACGCAGAGGGATTCTCATGATGCAAAATAGACAGAACTATTTTTAGGCGAAAAGACATCCCTTCTATTCAATTGTAATGACGTCCTGCTCCATCTCTTCCTCCCATCTGTCATATTCTTCCCTGAACTTTTCCTTCATCGAAACACCCATAAACCCCGCAATTTCGAATATTTTCACCCTAATATTGGCGTTCGCGTACTCATTACCTTCGCCATTTAGGTCAAAGCAGTCCATAATGATGTTGGCACGCTCTTCTGTCAGTGTAGGGGAATAATCATGATGTGAACCTCCTTACTCGGCGGTATAAAAGAAAACCTTGACGTACCAGATAGATTACACAAGTCATCGTAGTCCACAGGATAAACTCCATCCAGGAGAATGAGTCTACCAGGAAAAGGAGGCATGGGCATGTAACATTGGCGGGGACAGCCAGGTTTCATCATGTTTCGGTACCCCGACGTTGTGAGGTTAAGACGTCGGAGTATCTCTCTACAATTCATGTTAACTTAGCATATCCAAAGAACTGGGAAAAGGTTGGAAATTCGACGTACACCTTCGAATTATATTTCTGATGCTCAGATACTTTCTTCCAATTCACTTGAATAATGTTGCTTTGGTCAGTGTTGGACATGATGGAAGTTGAGAGGAAAGGGCGCTTGTTTCAGATCGCTGAGTAATGCTTTTTGATTCCGTTGGAAGGAAGGAGTGTTTGGCCTTGTTTGGTGTTGACTGGCAGAGGCATTAGATTACACAACCTTCCTCCTACATCACACCACCTCAAGTGTGCATTCGCGTTCGAGCCATTCCCTCGTTTCACTCGGCACCTCACCACTGTTTTTCAGAAAAACGAGATCAAAAACGAGATCAAAAATGATTCAAAAACGGTAACCGTGAACGGCACTACTCAATGCCGAAGATGTCAACATACGACGCGCATCTTTTTTTTTTTTTTTTTTTTTTTTTGGGGTCAAGTTTATAGTCCATCGGGGCAGAGCCCCATGTCAGACGTTACATCCTAGTAAACTACCTATGGCCCCTAGTGCCGTTTATACCTAACCCCCTGGAGATCCCCTCATGCACTGGTGGAGGCACGCCCATGGCGATCATTCCCCCATCCAGCCCGGCACGGAAACGCCGTTTAGAGGGGCATCCGTTAACGTGGGCGGGGTAGTTACTTCGTTTCTCTATATGTTGCATTCCTTCTGTTGAGTGTTTGGTCTTCCAAGTACCCGATCGCAAGCGACAGGTACAGCCATAGGGACGAGCGTGTTAGGTAGAGAAAAAAGAGAATTTGTGTGTTTTGTCGCATGTCATGTTTCATCCGTTAGAGCTAGTGGTCTCGTCTTGTTATATCTTGTGCTTAGGGTCCGAAGGCTGAGAGGCGGGTAATGAGAAAGAAAAAAAAAGGGGGGTGAAATTTTGTGGGCGAACCTGCTGGCCGTAGCCAACTCTGCTGTCGGGTCTTGACTGATGTAAGGCTTCCTGCAAGAAAGAGACGATGTTATCTGTCAAACTTCCTCGGACTCTAAGTGGGTTACATCACCTAGTGCGTCGCCAAGCGTTGCTTTGAACCTAGTGGTCCTCCCCACATACTTGAGCAACTCCTTTATGCCATCCATATCCGTCATGATCCCCTGTAAATCCCTCGAGTGCCGGCCCAATGCCCTGTCCATGTCGAAGCGTTCGGCTGCGTATGTCTGGCATTCGAAAAGATAGTGGATGGTCGTCTCTGTAATTGTCCCATGGCCAGCCTCCCAGCAACTAGCGCAACGCCTGTGGTCTGACCTGTTAATGCGGTGTAAGTAGCTGTTAAGTGGTATGTGTCCTGTCCGGAGCTGTATGAGTAAGCTGGACTGCGATCGTGAGAGAGCGTTGCTGATTTTTCGAAACTTGTTGAAGGGGAAAGCCCGGTCGATATGCTGAAATTTTGCGAAACGAGGCGAGGCCTTCCACAGCTCGAGCCATTTGATCTTCTGGCCGTCTGCGAACTCTTGCTTCGCTGCTGCCACGCTGATGGGCAACAGTTTCTGAAGGATTGGCGGTAGCTCCTCTGGTGGACTCGACTCCCCCTGTGCCGCCCTCTTTGCCTCCTCATCCACCCTCTCATTTCCAGTGACTCCCTTGTGCGCCGCTATCCACCTCAAAGCGAACTTGGCAGTACCTGCGGTGTGAAGTCCGTTAGTACCGTCATTCATATTCTCCGTTAGTCTCATGTATTCCAGGACCAGGTACTGTCCTGGCCCTGAGTTCCTCGCTCCCATTGCCTTGATAAACGCCTGACTGTCTGAGTAAGTCGTCACCTTTGCCTTCCCCACCTCTGGTCTCCCCTGCAGCATCCACGCTGCTAGTATTGACCCTACTGTCTCGCCCTCGAACATGGTGTGTTGCTTGATCGATCCTAGGTGGAATCACAGGATCTTCTCTGGCTCCTCCATCCCTTTCCTGTACATCACCGCTGCCGCACCAACCTTTCCTTCGTAGCCCGACCCGTCCGTAAATATCTTGATGTCTGAGTTGTCGTTCTTCTCCTCCTTAATTGAATCCTCCTTCGTGTCTGCAATTGTCGTGGTAAAGGTGCTATGGTATGTTGGTGGTCGAGGTTCTGGCTGTATGGTTTCGTATAGTTGCGGCTTTATCTTGTAGTGCTCTATTAGCTTTTGAATAGGAGTGAGGTGTGTTCTTGCCAGAGCATTGCTGTATCCTCGTATCATCGCCCGGGTAGGGTGTCCAACCGGGAGTGATGCTGCTCGTACCATCGCCGCGTAGCATATATGTTCTAGCATAAGGTTAGCTGGCAATATCCCGGCATGAGCATCCAGGAGATCGTTAGCGGACGTCCGTAGTCCACCAGTGATGGCCAGAGCGGCTATGCGTTGTATCTTACCCATTGACTTCAGGGCCCTGACTGACCCACTGTTGTTCCGTTTGCCTTCCTTCTTGTACGGAGGTACAAACCAAACATCTAGGGCGTACGTCATCTTGGGGACCGCTACTGAGATGTAGAGCTGTCTCATGAGCCTGGGCCGGATACCTAAGCTGGTACGTGTTAGCCTACGAAACATCAGAATGTAAGCTGTAGCCTTAGCCATAGCTTCGTTCTCTTGGATCTTCCATCTCAGCTGGTAGTCAATATGGACTCCGAGGTATCTGTAGCTCTCCACTTCCTTGATTACCCTCCCCTCCAGGCGAAGCGCTGGGTTCGGACGGTCTGTGGGCTTCCTTGGTCCAGGCTGACAGTGCATGACGGCCACCTTGCTGATTTCAAATCTTGAGTTGTGATCTAGAGCCCAGTCGAGGCCTCCATTCCTCCTCTCCATGAAGTTCTTGAGCGCGCGCGTCGAACCCTTGAATGTCTTCGCTGTCGCTATTACCAGGGCGTCGTCCACATACCCGATTGCATCTTCCTCCAGCCTTCTCAGGGCCTCTAAGAGGTCAGCGTTGTACAGGATATACAATAGCATAGAGATAGGATCTCCCTGTCCTATGCCGTTG